CGACCTATGCCACTTTTCCAAATGATCAACTAGAAGTTTTTATTTGTTACTCTTACAACTGGGATCGATGATCATATTTTTTTCAGGTAGTTTATAGTCATAAAAAAAAAAAAACAGAAAAGTAACTGGCCTTTTTATTACCAGGTTATTGTACTGTACTCAAATAATGACTTTTGTGTCTTGTTCAAACTACTTATTTAAAATGTGTTGAAACTTAATGTTACTTTTTTTTGTTGTTGTTGTTTTTTTCGGGGACAACTTATTTGTTTTAAGTTCAATCTACTTAAATTTGTAAAAATTTGGGTTGGAACAACATGAAGGAATTGTGTGAACCCGGCATTTTTACATGAATTTACAACATCAATCCAAAAAATATATGCTTATTTTACGCGCCACCATTTTAAAACACAAAAGCGAGGCTGTGGTGGGAAGAAACCTGGAAGTCTATAGCACTGAAAACATTGCAACAACATGCTGTGGGCTAAAAACCTCCACCTGCTGCGGCGGTTTCAAAATGCAGGTATGGTGTAAACACCACTTTAATATCATTCAGTTCAATTTAATTTAAACAATTAAAAGCATATTAGGTATCAAACAACATGACAATTTCTTTAAGAGTAATACACTTAAGTGTCCTCCTAGGTTTCAGTTCATGGCAGCAGGTAAACACCATGGGGACGCTTCCCTGCTTCAGCCTATGTAACCTGGTGAGCGATTAAACAATGCAGTCATCTGTAGCACACCCTCGTGTTGTCTGTAATGGTGTTGTCCCAGTACTGAAGTTTTAAAAACGATCATTGCCCGGTAACATTTGAGCGGCGCTGAGTGCGTTCATAAACACTAATGCAGGCGTCACCAAACTTGTTCCTGGAGGGCCGGTGTCCTACAGATCTTAGCTCCAACCCTAATCGAAGACACCTGAACAAGCTAATCAAGGTCTTACTAGTTATACTTGAAACATCCAGGCAGGTGTGTTGAAGCAAGTTGGAGCTAAAACCTGCAGGGACACCGGCCCTCCAGGACCGAGATTGGTGACCACTGCACTAATGATTTGCCATAGTATTCACCAGTGCTCAACAGAAATGACTGTGATTGACTGTGAAGGTCATCAGTTCACAACTCTTCACAGATTGCAAACACAATTAGACGGACACTTGAGCATTTTAAAGCTGTGAAGATCAGCGTATCGCTCGTCTGTGTTTGCACTCAGGAAACATCGGTGAAGTGAACTGATGACCTTCACAGCCAATCACAGTCATTTCTGTTGAGCAGGTGAACTCAATGGCAAATCAGCACTGTTTAAGAATGCCATCAACAGTGCATTAAATGTTAACGGGAAATTAATGTTTGTTTGTTTTTTACTGAAATTTTGTATCGTGTCAAGTCTTATATAGTGAATGAATCAGTTTATTAACTGGAGTTTGATGAATGGCATCTAAAATCTGCGTTTGGGAAAGAAAACATCAGCTAACTAGTGCCATTTCCCTTAACTGAAAATGAGGTCTGAAATCCCTTTTTATTTTCACTTTGAGTTCAGAAAAGACCTTTAAGTTACTCGGAAGGTGGTGAAATGATAAATTTGTGTAACTTTCTCTTCGCTGATAAGATATACAACCAGGTACACAACAGTCCTGTGTGAGTCAGGCGATACATCCGGGTTTCTTCCCACCACAGCCTCGATTTCGCTGTTTAAAATGGCGGCCGCATGAAATCAGTCTTTTGCTTCAAACTATTAAAAAATGTCAATAAAAGTCACCTTTTCAAACACTTCCACATCAAAATTTGATGGAGGAAAGATCCAATCCATTTTCCAATTCTAAAGCATAAATAAATTGATATAAAATGAAGTATGAAATGTTAATGAAGTATATTAATATGAAAAAAAGAATTACAAAACACACAAAAAAAAGTGTATTCATATATTTTTTCACAGCGTAGCATTGTTTATGTGCAGTGTTATAAACACAACACCATGTGTCGCACAAAAGCTAGTGGGGGTTGTAATTATAATTGTATACTTAATTAATTCCATCATGTCTCACTTCACATACCTGCTTCGCTCAAGCTTATCATTTGCTCATTATTAAAGGTGACATTATTAGTTACTATAGTTACTATATTACTATATTATAGTTACTGGGCCACTGATTCTGTTGATCTGAGTTTCTCACAGGTAAAGACAGAGGTTAAGTAAGGCGTTTTGATTTCATTTCCACAGCCAACCCGGTGAAATCAGTGGATTGTTGCCCTGATTGACCCATTCACAGCTCTTTATAATTGACCTTGCCAATGAACAAGGAGGTGATCCAGGGAGCTGAGGCAGCAGAAATTCTGTTTACTCTGAACATGTGAGGAAGGAAAGGTCTTCTGTCCCTAAGGGAGCCAATAAGGACACCATTTATAAGATGACAGTCATGGGTTGAATTGGAAGAGACAACCTACTGCCCACTTTTTAATTACCTGCAGACAATACTACTTTTAAATGTGATCATACAAGTTAGGAACAGTAAATAATATACACTTACTAATAAAAGACTTGTTGTCAATTCTAGTTGTAAGAGCAGAAAAATATTAATTTGATTTTCTAGGAAGATTTTTCAGATTTATCATCTGTTGAACTGCATTCAATCATCACAAATACTGCAGAAGACCTATTGGAACCCACATAGACCCAAGATTCTCACAGAAATCAGTCAAGTTTTGTGAAGGAAAAATCATGGTTTGGGGTTACGTTCAGTATGGGGGCGTGCAAGAGATCTGAAGAGTGGATGGCAACATCAACAGCCTAAGGTATCAGAACATTTGTGCTGCCCGTTACATCACCACAGGAGAGCGCAAATTATTCGGCATGATAGCACTCCTCATACTTCAGCCTCCACATCAAAGTTCCTGAAAGCAAATTAGGTCAAGGTGCTCCTGGATTGGCCAGCCAAGTCACTAGACATAAACATTATTGAGCATGCCTGGGGTAAGATGAAGGAAGAGGAGAACACAAGAACACTTTTGTTCAGTGACACGACTTTTGTCTAAGCAAAGTCAGACCTTACTGTCCAAATTAAATAATTAAATATTAAGGCATGATCATATTTTATTTTAATAAAATAAATGTAATCTTGAGGACTTTGTCTTTCATATCAGCCACCTCTGATACTAAGTGATCAACTAGAAGTCAAGTTAATATTTGTTGTTCCTAAAACTTGAATAGGTGACAAGACTTTTGTCAGGTAGTGTAGAGCTCAGAATCATTTTTGAGGCTGCTTTAAAGTTATTATAATTTTTCTCTGATTTGCCCTTAATAGCTATGTGTTTTAAGTAAAATATTAATTTATGTTTTAAGTATGTTAAATAAATAAATTGGTGGTAAATCCCATTAACACATTTTTTTAAACTTCAAAATAGCTTCCAAATATCCAATGTGATTTTTTACATAATCAATGTGAGGCGCAAATAAATGCTCCTCTTTATTTATTCATTCATGTATGTCTGTATGTATATATATGTATGTATATCAGGCCTGTAACCAGCTTGGTAAAAGGAAATTGTTATTTTTTTCTACAAAAGTGGACCTTTTTTGCAGTTATTTGCCTTATTTTATTTATAAATATGAGATTTAAATACTAAACTTGGGTGGCCTTTTAGACAATATTTTCAGCTGAATTAGCTTGTCGGATGGTCTTCATAACTACGCTTTTTGATGTACCAAAATATTTCCTAAATTTTTAGAATAAAGATATATGACAGATTTTTATATTTAAAATACACATTTATTACATCATCCCAGAGATGGGTTGCGGCTGGAAGGGCATCCGCTGCGTAAAAATGTGCTGGATAAGTTGGCGGTTCATTCCGCTGTGGCGACCCCGGATTAATAAAGGGACTAAGCCGACAAGAAAATAAATAAATGAATTTATTACATCAGATATCATTAGAAAAATTGTTTTAAATGAAAAAAACTGTAGCCGATTGTAATTTTTTTTTTTACTGTAAGCACACTCAACTTTCTGCAGTCAGAATTTGGCCAGTTGAATAATAATAAAAATAAAAATAATAATATACTAATAGTATTAAAAATAATAATATGCATGTTGTACCCGTGATCGCATAGTCTTCCTCATTGTGCTCCGGTTTCCCCCACAGTCCAAAGACAATAGGTGAATTGGGTAAGCTAAATTGTCCCTATAGTATGCAAGTAAATGAGTGTGTATAGATGTTTCCCAGTGATGGGTTGCAGCTGGAAGGATATGCCCTGCGTAAAGCATATGCTGGATAAATTGGCTGTTCATTCCGCTATGGTTACCACAGATAACAGATTAATAAAAAGAGTAAGCCAAAAAGAAAATGAACAATACTACTACTACTACTACTACTACTTCTAATAATAATAATAATAATTTAAAGCTTCACAATTTTACTAGCCTCTCTTGTAAAACACGTTTTTATTGGTCATGTTTTCTTCCAAGAATAAAATCCAAGCTTTATCGAATAAAAGTGCTTTGTCAAGTGTTTTCTCTATTCAAAACAATACAGTAGCGAAATATGACTTCACTTATGTCGGATGTTTTCTTGCACAGCTGGATGTTGGGCTCATGAAAAAGAATTGTTTGCATTAGCCAAAACTGATTAACTGAAGTCACATCTGGATTCCACTTGGTCTTAAAGCTTTTTTAAATGGGATTTCTACTATTTATGATGGCATAGCAGTTAAAATAGGACAAATTCTGGACTGTTGTCAGTGAGGAGTGGGTCTTCCGAACCACCTGAACCCCCCTGGCTATGGGTCTGTGTAAAACCCAACAATTAACTTTATCAAATGAAATGAGTTAGCTCAAAATTTATTGAAAATTCAATCTTATCATTTGAAGTTTTGAACTCAGTTTTGAAGGTAATGAGTTAGTTAATTACCTCATTACTTCAACTTAAATTGAGTAAATTCACAGTACTCATATGGATTAGTTTTTAACTCAAATTGTTTGTAGCAATCGGTTTCCTTAAACTGTTTGAGTTGCCTTAACTTATTTGGGTTTTAAAGTCCTCAATTGTTTTTTGAACTTAAATGGTTTGTTGCAATCTGTTTCCTCAAATGGTTTGAGTTAACTTATTTGGTTTTACAGTGTTGTAAAAACCATCAGCCCTCTTGTATTTTTTCCTCCTTTTTCAAATATTTCCCAAGTGATGTTTTACACAGATAAATTAATTTTCAAAGTATTACCTATAATACTTTTCTATAACAGAAAATGTAGCTATATAACATACATTGAACAGAATTTATAACATATATAGGTTACTGCACAACAGAAATTTCTGGGTGAATTGAAAAACAGATCTCGTTCTGCATGCGTCAGCTGCTGTATTTTCTCCCTCAATCAGAAGAGGCATCTTATCCCGAAAGTGTGCTCTTATTGGGTAACGCACAACTAGACAGTAACTTCAGTTCATCAGAGAGGAGTGCAAGCATCTCTATCTGCGTACATATCCAGTCACTGACGTACTCAATCCTCAGCAGACCCGCATCGCAGCGTCATCACTGATACCCACCGAGAACTAGAGCAAAACTGATCCTCTGCGTTTTGCACATGAACTGACACAGTTTTCCTCATATTCTTCTATTCTGGGTTTAAATTCATTTTTTATTTATTTATTTTTTTAGACTGTAAATGTGATATGGGGTGATGTACGCTCATGTACTTCATACTACGCGATGGTAAAATGTAACTGTCGTACACGTGCAGAGTTTACAGCTCCATTCATTTTGTTGGGAGCGTTTTGTTTTGTTGCGTGTGTAGGTTTGCACTGCTTATTACACTGTGAAGGATGAGTGTGAGGAAAAGGCAGTGACCGGAAAGAATCTTCTAGTGGAAGGCAAACACACACACACACACTCACGCGCGCGCATATATTCTAGAACACTAGAGGCAGTCGTGTTACACAAGACGCATCCAGACTCCGTAAATATAGGCTAGAGCACCGGTTGCGTTACATAACGAGGATGCTCCGCAAACTTTTAGTTTTTTTATATGCTCGTGGTTAAATGATTTGTCTTGAACTGAATGCGGCAATATAACAAGATCAAGCAATAATGTACAGAGCCTTACAGGAAGACTAGGGTCACGCGCAATGCATATGCATTAAATGATGCGTCAGAGAAGAGATGATGCTATTACTGACGTGATCTGGGTCGATGTCCTTATAATAAAATGTACAGAATAATAGCCTGCCAATAGTAATATGATAGCGAAATCGTGGTTTTAGGCTGAAGAATGAAATTTGCTATTTGAGTTTATGCATACACATCCCCAATACTGTGCTATAATGCATAACCCACAGGACTTAAGCACATCTAATAGCGTGTCAAACATTTATTGTGCAAATTAATAAGCAAAACTAACACTAGACACACTGTATCGGATTACAAACGCATTGCTCCCCATTTAGTCAGTACTTACTGGTTGAATTAACCACCCTGTTGTTCACTAAAGAACCAAAGAATATCTGGATATGCTATTCAAAGCTATTTTATTCCGTGTATGAGATGTCGAACGTGCTGTATAAATAAGAGAGCCTCTCTGCGACCTGCTCGCTCCGTGCGCAGCAATCCTCTGACAACTCTCCGACACCTTGGGATGTTCAAGCGGGGGCGGGGCTGCGAACAGGAGTAGAAGCTGATTGGTGCGTGGTGATGCCGTTCATACTTGGACCAATGAGCCCAATGAGCTGTTAAAGGGGGAGGATTCGCAGGTACGCCTTCCCCCGAAGGTTGCACCGCCTAGTTTCTGTGTGTGTGCGTATTTTTTTCTTTTTATTTTTTTTGTAACCAAAGCTGGATGTGTAGGACGTCACATGTTGTTTTTCCTCTTCACTCCAGTCACTTAGCGATATGTGTTATTTACTGTTAAACCGCTCTACGCAGCGAACGCGCACTCCGTGCCGGGTACAGAAGAGAATCTGACAGGATTATAACTGACTGACAGCACAAGTTGAGGAGGAAAAGTGAGAGTTTTTCTTCACAGCATATGAGAATGGCGAGTCCGCCGCCGACGGGAGGACAGCTGATTTCAGATATGACCGTGAAGAACAACAACCACGTTAAGAAATGCGGCTATCTGAGGAAACAGAAGCACGGACACAAGCGCTTTTTCGTGCTGAGGGAGCCGAGCGATGGCTCTCGCGCCCGGCTGGAGTATTACGAGAGCGAGAAGAAATGGAAAAACAAGTCGGCTGCTAAACGGGTTATACCTTTGGACTCGTGCCTGAACATCAACAAGAGAGCCGATGCCAAACACAAACACCTGATCGCCCTTTACACGAAGGACGAGTATTTTGCCGTGGCTACCGAGAACGAGCAGGAGCAAGAGGACTGGTTCACGGTCTTAACGGATTTAATGAACGAGGGGAAAGTGAGCGACGGCTCCGCGTCTAATTCGGCGTCATCCCTCGTCGGCTTTGATGAGGCGAACTACGGCGTGATAACGCCCGTCACCGCTGCTTACAAGGAGGTTTGGCAGGTCAATTTGAAATCTAAAGGACTCGGACAGAGCAGGAACTTAACAGGCGTTTACAGGCTGTGTTTATCCAGCCGGACCATCAGCTTCGTCAAACTTAACACCGAGAACGCATCGGTGATTTTACAGCTGATGAACATCCGCAGATGCGGACACTCGGACAGTTTCTTCTTCATCGAGGTGGGCCGCTCCGCGTCCATCGGACCCGGCGAATTATGGATGCAGGCGGACGACTCGGTGGTGGCGCAAAACATTCACGAGACCATTCTGGAGGCGATGAAAGCTATGAAAGAGATGTCAGAGTTCCGACCGCGCAGCAAAAGCCAGTCCTCAGGTACGAACCCCATCTCTGTGCCCACAAGGCGGCACTTTAACAACCTTCCGCCGAGTCAGACCGGGCTGCCGCGCCGCTCGCGCACTGACAGCATGGCAGCCACGTCTCCCGTGACGAAACTGACGTCCTGCAGGATCCGCACAGCGAGCGAGGGCGACGGCACTTTAGGCAGCCCCATCAGCCCAGGCGTGAACAGGACGCATTTGAGCCGCTCCAACACAGTGACAGCTCGCCCATGCAGAACATTTGAGTCTTCATCCTTGCAGCATAGCAAATCCATGAGCATGCCCGTGTCTCACTCCCCTCTCTCAGCTGCCAGCCCGGTCAGCCTGTCCTGCAGCAGCAATATAGAGGGCGGTCCTCGCCCATCCAGCTGCACAGCCTCTATATCAGGCTCCCCCAGTGATGCAGGCTTCATCTCCTGTGATGAGTGTGGCTCCAGTCCGGGTGATGTAAGACACCTTTTAGCAGCAAACCGAAGCAACACACCTGAGTCACTTGCTGACACACCCCCCTCACAGGAGGGCAGTGACCTGTACGGATACATGATCATGGAGAGACCAAGCAGCTTTGGCCAGCGAGGCATCCGGGCAGCAGGTGAGGAGATCTTAGGAGACCTGGAGAAAGCCTACAGGAAAAGGACACACTCCCTCACCATGCCTTACCAGAAGAGGGTGCCATCACAAGTGTCCTCAGCCTCACTGGATGAGTACACACTGATGAGAGCCACGTACACAACTGCAGGCCATTCGGGGCGCAGCTCTCACACTGCATCTCCAAAGGTCACATACCCTGAGGATTACGGGGACATTGAAATTGGATCATTACTGAAAAGTTCCAGTGGTAATATAGGTGATGATGGCTACATGCCAATGACACCAGGTGTGGCTCCGCAAGGGGGGAAGGCTGACAACTATATGCCAATGAGCTCAATGTGCGTTTCAGCTCCAAAGCAGATAATCAACCCCAGGACTCACCCCCTGACTATAGCTAATGGGTACAGAACTAGCTCTCCCAGCAGCTGTTCTTTGGAGGACAGTGGCTACATGAGGATGCTGTGCGGCTCTAAGTTCTCAATTGACAGCTCAGATGGGAAAATGACAAATGGCGAGTACCTCAACATGTCTCCTGTAGATTCAGTCACACCACCAGACTACTACCTGAGCCCTGAGTCTCCCCGTCTCAGACAACTTCACTCATTTAACTCTTTGCCCCGCTGTCATAAGCCCCAGCAGATGCAAAAGGATGCGGACAATGATCAGTATGTTGTCATGAACCCTCAGAGTCACAAGATTATAGAGGAGTCAGTAAAAACAGCATCCCCCCCTGCCCCATCTCCTCTAAGACAAAGCCGCACAGACAACCTCATTCTCCGGCACAGGATCAGCCGGCCCACCCGCCTCTCTCTTGACACTCTAAGGACATTACCCAGTATGAACGAGCATCCCAATCCATCTGAGCCAAAAAGCCCTGGGGAGTACATAAACATAGACTTTGGACATGTCGCTGAAAGTTGCACCCCGCCTTCTACTGCTTCCTTCGAGAGCCCAGCCTCATCCCTGGGATCGTTCGCCGATCAGAGGACGTCCCCCCTCTCTGATTACATGAACCTTAATGTGAGTTCACAGTCACCCAAATCTGGAAATGCCGCCCCATCTGATCGCTTGGAGCCCCTTCCAGAATGCACGTCATGTCCCACCCACACTGAGGAAGAGGAGGAAGATGAGAGGTACCAGTGCAAGGCACAGTTGGCACCAGCGGGCCCAGTTGATAAAGCAAAAGACGATTACACAGAGATGACGTTTGGCGTGTCTGCTTCCTCTCCGCCGCCTCAGCCCTCAGAAGGTGGGCAGACCATCAGCCCATCCTCCTGCTTGCAGAGGCTGACTGTGGACGAAAATGCTGGAGCGCCTGCTGTGGAGGCATTTCTGCTGCATGCAGCACCTCTGGCCTTGGTGGACCCTGATCGAGGTGCCAAGGTGATTCGTGCTGACCCCCAGGGACGCAGGCGGCACAGTTCAGAGACTTTCTCCTCAACCACCACTGTAACACCAGTGTTTCCCTCCTTTGCACATGACACCAGGCGGCACGGTTCGGCCTCTGTGGAGAACGTGTCTGTTTCGGTGAGAAACGGCGAAGGATCGGATGAAGAGTACAACAGTCCCATGTGCAGGGAGACGTCAGCTGGCTTTCAGAATGGACTTAACTACATTGCCTTAAACTTGATGGATGGAGGACTTGCCAGCTGTGATTCCCTTGTCCGGTTCAAAGCTGCTAGCTGCTGTAAAGAGGGCATCAATGGAATACACACTAGTCCGTATGCCAGCCTTGGGTTCAAGGACACGGCAACAACAGTAAAAGGTAAGCTTTTTGTTCGTTTTTTCCTTATTAGTTCATATTTATAGTCGTTCAATTCATATTTAATTTCACAAATGCAGTGCTTTTGTAGAATGATGATTTAGCTGTGTGAAATCCCTACAAAATGACACGACAGTTTGTTTTTGCTAAAAATACAACCGCACATTGCTCGTGCACTAGATGAATGTGGCACATGACAGATTCCCCTTTTATGTGAGAGAGCTAATTGAGCAACTTGAGTGTCAGAATGATGGAAAAGCCTCTTTAAAAGCTGTGGCGCAGTTTTTATTCTGAGACCGATCACTTCATTCGTGCCTGCAGGAGCATTTGGGATGAAAACAGCTCAGGTTTTTAATCCTTTGCACTACAGCTGCTTATTCCTTAAAGCGAACACTTTTGTTTGCAGGAGTGTTTGGATGTGGTCAGTTTAAGAGGATGTAAACGTGAAAGAGAGATGTCGTCAATTATTCAGCTGAGAATAAGGGAACGTTCCCGATATTTACATCATATTTGACTCATTCTCTGGATCAGAATTAGTCATTTGTATCGTACTTGAGTGAACAGTAGCCCAGATCAAAACAAGTGAGTCAGTTGTTTATCAGTTTTCAGGTCGAGGGTTTCAAGGGCTGGAATGCAGAACGTGTGCAAAGGTCGTTCAGTGAGGTTAACGCCGGCTTGTTTTTCCAACCTGCCAGGTTCCACTCAAGGAACAACCCACCTTTAGTTTATCAGTATGACTTAAAAAACAAAGTTGTTTGTGCAACTCGAAGATAAACATGTGGGCTGATTGACTCACGTGGAAGTTACATGCAGAAATGCGTGGTACGATAATAGCAAACAATTTTGTGTTTAATAGACGTCGAATAGACATCTAAGTGTAGACAGTTTGCTTAAAACTTGGACTGAAATTCGAATAGACATCTAAGAGTAGTTCAAAACCAGACTAGTCCTCAAATAGACAAATTAGACAGACTTTTTATGTCTAGTCATTCATTCCTGTTTGTTTGATGACTAGTCTAGTTTTGGTCTATTCTTAGACGTCTATAAGATTTGCTGTTAATGACAGCCTAAATTTAGCCTTGTTTTAGTCAAGACGACTATGTTTAGATGTCTATTAGACATCTATTAGACATCTTTTAAAATAAAAAATGCTTGCTGGAATAGATGTTGTTGGCAACCGTGCCTTTGAGTACGTGAGAAAGCTTTTAGAATGCACATAAGTGTCAAAACGAGTATAATACACCCTAGGGAGACTCTTACACTGACAAAAAGTCAAGGTGAAGGATTGCACTCGGAAGACAGCGAATTATTATCTTTCGAATGACACTTCAAGAGGATAGAAAAAGAAGCCTATCAAAACAACACACACACTCACTACACAAGGCAAATAGTCAACATCAGAAACTCAATTATGTTCTCTAGGGTGTGTGTGAGAGAGTGTTTGTGCTGGCTGAGCAGGTGTTTCTGCAGTTCTCTGTTTACCTCCACAAGTGGACGGAGCAAAAAGACATAGCCTCAGGCCACGGAAGTTCTAGAACAGTGGGAGGAGACCACCAAAAAAAAAAAAAACCCTCACACAAACATCGTCACACACAGCCACCCGGCTCTGTGATTGGTCGCTGACAACATTCCAGCAAAACAAAAGATGAGCCACAGAGACAGAACACAGAGCTCTTATTTGTGTTGAACAGTCTGATAGTCTTCCTGATAGGAACCTGCGCCAGTATGAGACCCACTGAGCAGAGATGAGCGCACGGATAGGCTGCGATCTGTTTACTACTCCAGCTTCTGTAATGCCACATTCCACTCCTTCCCTCCTTTCGTCACTTTTACTCACTGATTTGAATGGTACATTTGTGAATGGGGAGCAGGCACATACTTTGACAAACACGACTACATATTTACATAGCGTGCCGGATGTTTGACTCAGGTTTATGATGGTGCGTCATCATGTTTGGACTGATTAGTTATTTATCTCGGTGTTTTTCACATCTGCGTCCTTACAGAGTCACTAAAATACGTTGCCAGTGTGTTGTAAATCAACCCGATCACCTCTGACCTGGCCTTGGATTTAGAGGGCTATAGAGGTACACTCGAAAGCATAAAGAGCGCCATTGGCATTGAAGCTTTCGGCTGCCTTTTATTTCCTTGGATTGGATTCTTTCCATTTCTTCCTTCATAATAGCTCTAGAGAGGAGAGCAAACACTGTCTTATTAAAAATTTACTATTAGGACATCCCAAGAACTCATCTCAGAGAGCTGTGTGTTTCTGCAAGGAGCTCCCCCCCCCCCAAGAGAACAGTCTGTGTGAGGGGCCGGGCTAGCAGATGGTCGAGGCCAGGGTCGTGCACCTGCCATTCCAAGCAGTGCACAGTGGTTATCGGGCCCATCAGAGCCCTGACAATACACTAATGATTAGCGGCCATCTGCTGCCCCACACAACAGCCTAGAGAGATATAGGGAGATACAGTCAGATAACCAGTGTAAACAGTTGGCAAAAGCTGGAAATAAAAGTGAAATCTATCTTTTGTTTGGAGCCTCGAGTACCGCCCCTTCCCTGTCTTTTGATAGACTTGATTTAATTGATAAGTACAGCAGTGAAAGCGAGATTGTGTCTATTAATTTGCCTTTTATGTGTAGAGAAGACTCAAGCGACCATCCCCCATCACAACACACACCTATTCCATGGAATCCTAGTTTGCTATTCTCTTTTCCGTCATCTCTTTCTGAATTTCTAAGGTTTTTTTATATTTATTAATATTTTTGTTATCATTAACAATTATTATTGTCCACTGTTCTCTGTCATCCTAAGGCCAATGAGCAGTGGTGAGCCTGGGTGCGTGGTCCCTTTCAATGCTGCTTGCAGCTTTAATATTCTATTAGTCACTTTTGTTTATTCCTTTCTATGTCTATCACTGATCATAACTCAGTCGTCGCCTCTCTCTCTCTCTCTCTCTCTCTCTCTCTCTCTCTCTCTTTATATCCTTGTTCACCTCTTAGTCTTGTTGTTGTTGACTTTGTAAGTACCTGTTATTGTCGCAGATTTTATAGTGTTAAACTGATCCAAGATGTTCTGTTACACGATCTTACTGCTTCCCACTTTTAGCTGCACAGATAAGGCGGATTACACGCTGCCACAGATTAGACATTGTTGAGCAGCTTTGTTTGGTGACCAAGTAAATGACACACACACAACCACACACCACACACACAGGTAAATTCCACAATGTTTGCCATGTCTAGGTAATATTTCAGTGGATTAAAACAAGGAATTTAGCTTTAATTAAACAGCATATGACAATTACACAGACACACACACACACACACACACACACACACACACACACACACACACACACACACACACACACACACACACATATATAAATGTATAATATATGTATAATATATGTATAATATATATATATATATATATATATATATATATATATATATATATATATATATATATATATATATATATATATATATATATATATATATATAATTTTTTATATATATTTTTTTTAAATATATAATATATTAAAATATATATATATTTTTTTACCAAACATATTTAGAGAAAGATAATACAATTAAATTACAACCTACAACATTTAAACTAAATTTATATATATATTTATATATACATATATATATATATATATATATATATATATATATATATATTTTTTTTTTTTTTTTTTAAAGTTTATATTTAATATTTTATTTTCTGTAACTATATAATTATTCATGCAAAATTAAATATAAACCTGAGATACAGTAAATAATATTGCCAATTCATGTTTTTTTTTGTTATCTTTTGTTCTAAATTTAAATAAGACATTATTTTAACATCTATAGTCATTTATACAATTATAAATTATTGGATTTTTTACTTTTTTGAGAATTACTATGATGTCAAATGTTATTTAAAAAGTCAGAATTATTAAACCTCTTGAATTATTAGCCCCCCTGTTTATATTTTTTCCCAATTTTTGTTTAACAGAGAGAATATTTTTCAACACATTTCTTAACATAATAGTTTTAGTAACTTATTTCTAATAATTGATTTATTTTATATTTGCTGTGATGACAGTAAATAATATTTGACTATATATTTTTTAATATTATTTATTTATTAATTTTCTCATTTTATTTACTTTATATTTATTTTCTATTTTATTTATTTATTCATTAATTTATATTTTACTACTACTTTTTTATTATTTTATTTTATTTACTATTTATTTTCTTATATTTATTTATTTTATTTACTAATTATTTAAATTTCTTTATTTTTTTAATTATTAATTAATTAATTTTAGTTACTAAATATTTTATTCAATTTATTGTTTATTCTATTTATAATTTTATGTGTTTATTTATTTATTTATTTATTTTATTTAATTTACTATTTTTTTCTATTTATTTTATATTTTATTCAATTGTTATTTAAAAATCACAGTGACAACATCAGTTTGGCCCAAAAACATTTTAAACATTCAATTATTGTCATTTGCTCATATTTTTCTTTTTCTTTTTTCCCACACATACAAACAGTTTTTCATTACTCTAGATTATTTCAGTGTAAAGTCTTAAACTGTACTTAACTTTGCATCATATGTTAACATCATACAAGTCAGAATTATTAGCCCCCCTGTTTATTTTTTCCCCAATTTTCGTTTAAGAGAGAACTGATTTTTTCAACAAATTTCTAAACATAATAGTTAGTAGTTCAGTTCTAATAACTGATTTATAAACTACCTTTATTCCAGCCAAAATAAAACAAATTAGCCAGAAGAAAATCTTCAGAAGAAAAAATATTATCAGACATAATGTGAAAATTTCCTTGCCCTATTAAGCATAATTTACAAAATATTTGAAAAAGAAAAAAAAAATCAAAGGGGTTTAATAATTCTGATTTCAAGTGTATTTATAAAACATCTAACTTTTATGTGTTTGTGTGTGTGTGTGTGTGTGTGTGTGTTTTTAACATGTGG